TACACCACTTACCCCAAATGGACTGTTTTAAATAACTTGGACTGGTCCAAATTCTCTAGAAGACTATATACACACAAAATTCAAGCCACAAAACCCAATAATCTCCATCAAGATTCGAAATTCATCTTCATGCACTCCGCCATAGCACCACCTCAAACAAAAAAAAATTCTTTCTTCCACAGCATTGGTGTTTAATTACTCACCCTTGACAACCCACCAATAATCCACTCATCCTCATCAATTATTTTTCTGACTCAAAAAACAAAAACTTATGTTCTTCGTATCATTAGATTCATCCCATCTTGAGAACTAGCACCCACTATTTGGCTTGTCCCCAAAACTTATTCTTCATAAGCTTCCCACCAACATACATTTGTGTCATCATCAACTCTGATTGAATCTTCATAGTACTTCACGATCAACATTCTTCTCTGACAAACTTCACGAGTCCATCTTCGACTCTAATCTTCAACACCAACCACAAGCTTCGACCCACCATCGACTCCGATACCAGTTGTTAGGGAAATTAACTCCCTCCAACCCACTGCATGGTCGGTTATTGTCGAGAGTTAAAACCATCGTTCATCACATATAACAATTAAAAACATAATTTTCACATCAACTACATAAGTATACATAAAGATAACAATCATCCACATCCACGAACAGCACTATATTTTACATGGTTCACCCAAGTCTATGGTTATGTCCATGGAGAGAGAGATTTCACTATTATGTATCAAGAAAGAAAATATACAACCACATATGTCGAAACCCCACACATTTTTTCAGGCTATATCCCCAAGATTTACATAAACTCTCCCTTCTCATCACTAAACTCACATTGTAGCCCCTTACATCTTCCCCTCTCTCTTTCTCCCTCTTAATCTCTCACACATATCCCAATTTATAGTCTTTAAAATCAATTCCTTGTTTGACAAGAATTCCACAACTTGCTTTCGTTACCATAACAATCATAAATCTAAAATAGCAGCTTAATACACCATAACTTTCTTCCCTTTTTACCCCAGATGGACTAGCCCAAGTAATTTTGACTCATCCATATTCTCTAGAAATATTCCTTGTTCAACAAGAATTCCACAACTTGCCTGCACTACCATAACAATCATAACTCTAAAATAGTAGCATAATACACCATAACTTTCTTCTCTCTTTACCCCAGATGGACTAGCCCAAATAATTTTGACTGATCCATCTTCTCTAGAAGACTATATACACACTGAATTCGAGCCACAAAACTTAACAAAATCTGCACTGAAATACTCATAAATGAAAAGGTAGTACTACTACTTACAATAATAGAATTGGAAGGGTTTGGACTTTGGAAACACAGACACCCTCTATTTAAAGAAGAAAAAACAAGTTATATTATTATCATTATTTAACTAACAAACATAAATTAAGAGCTTTTATTTTGTGCTGATCACACATTTGGCATTGGGAAAGGAAGGAAGAGAGAAAAAATGGAGCAGGTTTTTCTATTATTCAGTAGAGGAAAAGTATTTATGATACCTAAAGAGAATTGTCATAAATGGATTGAAAAAAAAAAAAAATCCTAAAATAACTTCTTCTTTTTTTGCCATAATTTTTCGTCACAATTAACAAGCGTAGTGATGGATGCTAATGGATTGTCAATATAAAATTTGTAACCAGCTTAAGGTGACTGTGTTGTGACGACATATTTTCATAGCTAAAACATTTGAGCTACAGACTTTTTTATTTCACAAATGCACTCCTTTGTTGTCATGGAAATGATGGAGGGCATCTCTCCTAATTCATGAAGTTGGTTTCATTAAAAATTTGGGAAGAAGAGGAGAGTGATAATAAGCTAGGACATAATAATGAAATAATGACACATTATTATTATTATTATTATTATTTTCACTCCAACAAATAAAAAATAAAAAAAAATGTGTATTTATTTTACAAAATAATAAATTAAAATAAATAAAAATAGGGAGGAGGAATTGTGATATAAAAATAGAGAGGAGGAACAGTGCCCACCCTATTGTAACTCTCTTTCATACTTTCTCTCCACTCTTTCATCTAGTTTTACATCCCTCCCATCAAAGATGGCATTAAAACTTCACCTTTATATTTTAATATAGGGTAAAGTACAGCAACATCCCTTGAGATTTGTCAAAAGGACCCTCAAATGAAAGTTACCTATTTTTGGGACAATGACACCCTTTGAAGATTGAAAAGTGGACAAAGGCACCTCTTGAAGCCAACTGACATGAAAAATTGACCAAATTGTTCTTTGACCATTTAGTTGACCTTTTTAACTTTATAAGTTAATAAATTGGACGAAACTACCATTTAGTAACAAACAGCCACAATGCTAGGTATATAAACTATATATACACACACACACAAACACATCCCTGAAACAGATTAATAAATTGGACGAAAGTACCCATGTGTGAATTTATAACAAAAATTTTGGTAAAAGAAAAAAAAAAAAAAAAAAAAACCTCATTTGTTTTCATTATGCAAGAATTTCTCAAAATAACAAAATTGATAGCCCACAATCTCTCAAAATAATAAAATTGATAACAAAATTGCATATTTCTTTTGTTGTAATAAATTTTCAATTTCTTACAAAAAGAATAAAGTTTGACCAATCTAAATGGGTGTCTATTGGTGCTACTTATATCTGTCAATGTTGTTCAATTTTGCCTTAAAAAAATTGTGAGAGATTATGGATGGGTTATCCAACCTCTGAATGATGTCTTTCAAGAACTAATTGATGTTACTGGTGTTACTTCGTTGCGTAGCCCACACTGGATTCGCTATTTAGTTATTTTCCATTCTGTTTTTATGGTAATAACAAACCCCCATTTGTTTAAAAAAAAAAAAAAAAAATTAATTTCATTCTGCCACAATTTCTCAAAATAACAAAAAAATTGTTATAAAAAAAAAAAAAACGACATGTTAGTAAAGAAAACGGGAACAAAATTTTTTTGTAAAGAAAATAAAGAAAACCTCATATTTAGAAAACCACATAAAGAAAAGCCCATATTTTATTTGCAATATTTTTTTGTAAAGAAAACCTCATTTTAGTAAAGAAAACATGAACGAAATTTTTGTTAAAAAAAACCCATATTTTTTTTGCAAATTAATGGATAATATAGTAAATAAAACAGGAACAAAATTTTGGTAAAAAAAAATACAGGTTTGATATTTTGCAATTTACTGGTTGTTAATCTAGCACCAAGTGGCGTTAATTTGTGGCCCTAAACTTTTGGGGGCAATTGCATCATTTTGACAGGTTTGATATTTTGCAATAAATCTGAATTAAATATTAAGGGGCAATTTTGTCTTTTCATATGATTTAAGGCCTTGTTTGGATGGAATTTCTTTAAGGGGTGTCATTGTCCCAAAAACAGGTAACTTTGTCCTTTTGGTAAACCTCAAGACATAATAATGAAATAATGATACTTTTTTTTTTCACTCCAACAAATTAAAAAAAAAAAGGTGTGTATTTATTATACAAAATAAATAAAAATAGGGAGAAGGAATTGTGATATAAAAATAGGGAGGAGGAATACTGCCCACCCAATTGTAACTCTCTTTCATACTCTCTCTCCAGTCTTTCATCTAGTTTTACATCCCTCCCATCAAAGATGCATTAAAACTTTACCTGTATACTTTAATATATCAAGGGTAGCTATAGAGTAATATTTCGACAACTATAGAGCAATATATATAGAATCGTACCTACCTAAATATATATATATATATAACATTATATCTTATGAGATATTTACAAAGTTTGTATTTGAATCTAAAATGAGCAGACAACTTGCGTACCATCAAAGAATTAAAGAAACGATATTTTTTTTAAGCTGAATTGACTTTTGATCAAAGAGATCATGTGCATGAGCAGCCCCAAGGTCTATTAATACGCCTATTCAGACGTGGCATTTTCTTGATGTCAGAAGAATGCATTGATAATACACTACACATAGCAATGTATAAAACAAGGTGTGGCAGTTTCAAATCCACAATGAAACGCACACTGTTTTTCAATTTTATTTTTGAAGTTAGGTAAGACCTACCCACACATATTTCGCCAATTCGCCCTAGTAATATTGATAAAGAGTTTGTGAGTCGAATACATACAATTAAAATTATGAAAATAATAAATGATATTATAATAATATTATCATATTTAATAAGATTAATTATATAAAACACCTTTAAAATTTATTTTTTTGAGCAAACAACACTCTTCTTTTATTTTGACTATACAATTTTTTTAAAATTTTAAAAATATTGCAAATGATGACTTTTCGAGAGCCAACCGTTTAAAAAGTACCATTCACATGTCTAGCAAATGACTAATTAATTGTACTAAATACCGAAAATGCCCTTATTTAATTCCAAAAATATTCTTACCCTTTTTGTATATAAAGGTCATAGTAGTCATTTTACATTAATTAAATTTTTGACTTTTTATTTTAATTATAAAAACGATATTTTAGTATTTTTATCGCTCCATTAATTACCGTATGACATAATATCCTTATTCTCCCCTAAAATAAACTTCAGAGATTTATATGAGCTATGTTGCATGCCCACCTAAAATAGTTTATACATTTAACTTTCAAATTATTTATCATTATTTATTTCACAGATGAATAATTATATTTTTAAGTCCCAACCGGTTGTCCTGTAACGCTAATGAGCCCCACGATAATGGCGGGCTATAAGCTTACGTGGTGAGACAACCGGTTACAGACTCACAATACTAGTCAATTTCTTTGATCACCCTTCTTCAGAGACTCAAAATCAGACAAAGCTCCGAACCTCTCCTGAAGAATGGGTGGTGGGCTAATAATGGCCGTTGATCACATCGATATACTCATAAATGAAAAAGGTAGCAGTATAAATTGGGAAGGGTTTGGTATGAACTATCCAGTGTACTACAATCCTACACGTCAACCACTTCTTTATAACACACCAAAACTCACTCACACTAACAACCCATTCATGAAAAGTTTGTTGCAACTTTGCAAGAACAACTGAACAAGCATCGATAAAAAGGGTGCGAGTTGTGTGTGAAATAATTGAAAGTTAGAGAGAGAGAGGGTGTTTGTGTGTGTAAGTGTCCTAACTAAAAAACACAAAATGGAGGTGGAGAGAGTACAAGCCATTGCTTCACTATCCAAGTTCACAGACACCATCCCATCGGAGTACATTAGGTCAGAAAATGAGCAACCAGCGATCACAACCTTCCATGGTGTGGTCCTGGAAGTTCCGTTGATCGATCTGAGTGGTCCGGTCGACGAGAGCCTGGTCCGGGCCATTGCGGAGGCGAGCCGGGAGTGGGGGATATTCCAGGTGGTGAACCATGACATACCAAATGAGGTTATAAGCAAATTACAGAGAGCTGGGAGAGAGTTCTTTGAGCTCCCGCCAGAAGAGAAAGAGGTGTATGCTAAGCCTCCTGGGGCTCAGACTGTGGAAGGCTATGGCACAAAACTACAAAAAGAAGTTGAAGGCAAGAAAGGTTGGGTTGATCACTTGTTTCACAAGATTTGGCCTCCTTCTGCCATTAACTACCAGTTCTGGCCTAAAAATCCACCTTCTTACAGGTTAGCTATTTTTTTTTTCCTTCTTTTTTTTTTTTTACGGAATGGTAAAACAAACACACTTTTCGTCCATGCCGGCTTGAATCCCTCCCCTCCGAGGATAGGGAGGTTATGCACTAGGCCAGAGAGCCTAGTATAATTTTGCCGTGTTCTTCTGCTTACAATTTTATTTATTTATTGGGTTGTCGCCTTTGGGCTTGTCATCTTTGGATTGCCTTTGTAATTTTCTGTTGGGCTTTTCTTGAGCCTTCTTCCTTTGGGGCTGTACAGTTCTATTTTCAATAAATTCAATTTACCTTTCAAAAAAAAAATTTTTATTTACTTATTTATTTATAGTAATTATACATGTGTAATGGGAGACCGTATAGGTCTGGTGATACATTATGTAACTTCATCCAACGATGCAAACTTATAAAGATGAATAATGTGTCTATATGTTTTTTTAATTTCTTGTTGTTTTTTAGATTAATTATTATAGAATTTATAGGATCCATCCATCCCGTCGCAGCATTATCTATTTAATTGAAATGGAACAGTTGTCTCAAATTTGTGTTTTAATGCATGGTCCAAAAAATAGCAAAATACTAAGAACTGATACCAGATACTGTACAATATTAAGGTAGTACGGACAACAATATTTAAAAATGTAGAGCGTAATTGGACAATATAATCGTGTTACGTCGGATGGACAATATAATAGCGTGTTATGTCAGATGGATGGTATAAGCAATTCAGCTGAATTTGCTTGTAAAGTTAATGTAAGATAGCGTAGATATGACTTTTTTTTGCATTAAAAAACAATTTATACACTAACAGGCAGTAGTCCAGCGATACCAAATTCATACTTCTCAAATAGAGGTCAGGGGTTCGAGTACTACATTTTAAATGGGTTTTTTTATTATTTATTTTTATAAATTTGTATTTATGTCCTAAATGGTTGTGTTTTTTTTATGTAGGGAGGCAAACGAAGAGTATGCAGAGAAACTGCTTGGTGTGGACAAATTGTTCAAGGGCTTGTCATTAGGGCTAGGGCTTGAAGGCAATGAACTGAAAAAGGCTGCTGGTGGTGATGACTTGGTTTACCTTATGAAAATTAATTATTACCCACCATGTCCTCGTCCTGATCTGGCTCTTGGAGTGGTGGCTCACACTGATATGTCTACTCTGACCATCCTAGTGCCCAATGAGGTTCCAGGACTACAGGTGTTCAAAGATGACCATTGGTATGATGTCAAGTACATACCCAATGCCCTTATCATTCATGTTGGGGACCAAATTGAGGTATTGCCTGTTTTTTTTCATTCTTACTCCGTGCTTGATATGTATATGATTCCAATATAGTCATTGTCAAACTACAGTTAAATTTTTCTACAAGAGTTTATCAAACTGGTCTCTTTAATGGTACAAATTATTCCTAGTATTTTCAGGTTCAGAAAATAATTTCTCTAATTTAGTTATCATGAGAAATAAGGGAAAGAAAATATATATGAGGGGGAATTGATGGAAAACATTTTTCCTTTTCTTTTCATGATTTAGATCTGAAACTAAAAATTTCCAATCCTATTTAAGTAGGAAAAAAAAGAATAAATTATACTGAGCTCTTCTTAACTTTGTGCAAATTAGACACATATACACCGTTTAACCTTTATTACTTTGACCACTCCTAAAATTTGAAGCGGAGTGCTTAACGATCCCTCTTTGGATTTTAGTCCGTCAAAATTGTTAATAAAATGACCAAGATTCCCTTATCTTCTATGAAAAGACTATAACGACCTTAAGTGTTGTAGTAGAATGACAAACCACCAATAAATGAACTAAAATGCCCTTATTATTTAAAATATAAAAAATAAATCTAATGAGTTGGAACCCAATTTCTGACTTAATTGAGTTTTTGTTATCATTTCCATTTTTAGTATAATATATTATTTTAACATAAGGACATTAATGACTTTTGACACATTTAGATGTCAAAGTAATAAAGATCAAACAGTCAATTTGTGTGTAATTTGTTCAAACCTCCGGAAATGTGAGTGTAATTTAACCAAAAAAAATTAGTAAATGATCATTAATATATATTTCTATTCTTTTCTTTTTTCCTTTCACTAGTGTGATGAAATTTTAGCTTAATTTGATAATTTCATAATTTCAGTAGTGTTTGTTTTATTTAAATTTCTAGCATATCTCTTGTGAAAAACTTTTTACAATTTCTTAACAATATCATTAGTAGTTTCCTTCTTTTCAAAAGGATATTTGTTGAGGATCAAACCGGAGGAGTTAGTAAAAATAAATAAAAATTTCCTTATGATTGAACAAGAACAAGTTTTTTTTAATAGTATTAATAAACCATTTTAACCAAATTTTCCATTACTCAAAATGTAAGTCCCCTTGTTACTCTGTGATGTAATTTGACAGATTTTAAGCAATGGGAAGTACAAGAGTGTGTTCCACAGATCAACGGTGAACAAAGACACGACGAGAATGTCGTGGCCGGTGTTCTTGGAGCCGCCACCGGAGTTTGAGCTCGGGCCTCTTCCAAAGCTTGTCAATGAAGAGAATCCACCAAAATACAAGACCAAGAAGTACAAAGACTATGTTTACTGTAAGCTGAACAAGCTTCCCCAGTGACCTGCACTTTTGGCAACTTATCGATCGGTTTTGGCCAAGTAGTATAAGCAGTAATCTTAGCAAGCTCATGTTGTTGAGTCTATATTTGTGGAGGTTGCCGTGAAATAAATTTGTTAATTCATAATTAATCTATGTAGTATGCTTAATAAATATATGTCCCACCCTTCAATTTCAAACAAATTAGGCTTGTATCTTCATTCTTCAAGTGTTATTTCCATTCAGAATGGGCATTTTACACAAATCAGTTGAGACATATATATATATATATATATATATATATATGTATGTATGTATGGATTAAGTGCAGAAAACTCGATTTACCGAAAAAAAAGAGTACAGAAAACACTTTTCTACTATGGATACTGTGGCACTCTTAAATTATTGATTTGGTGCAAGTAAGTCTCACCTGACATACTACCCTTACTAAGATAATTTATATATTATTAAGAAACAAATCTATTAGACCAAGAGGGGGGTGAATTGCTCAAATTAAACTTCTTCTTGTTCACAATAAGATCAACAAATCCACATAAGGCACTGAACACAAGATATATAAAGAAACCCTCTCAATGGGGAAAAACCTTGGGGAAAAACCTTGATTTTTGGCCTCAGCCAGTAAAAAAACTCCACTAGTTGTATGTAAGTAGTTATATACTCAGCTATCTCACACTCTGTACACACCCTTGTATAAGTTAAAACACTAGATTTCACAGCCTCTACACGTACACTAGCTCAACACAGTGCACACTGCACTCCCCCTATCCTAAGCACCCTTGCTTGGACCCTGCAAGCTTTTAAAGCTCACCAAATACATACAAAAGAATGTATATCAACAATATTCAAGCATACACAAAAGATAAGAGTGGTTGTGCAACTCAAAACACCAATCTGTAGCATCTAGAACCCTTCTTGCAGGAACTAGGGTTATAGGGGTAAAATAGAAAATTCGTGTTCCAAATATTCTAAGATCAATCCCACAACCTTATATCACCATTCCAAACATGCTCAAATGATAAACATAGTAAGTACAGCATGTATATATCACTATAATCTCAATTAGGCCTTGAAATCAACTGTTCACTTAAAAATTTAAGGTTTTGGTAGGTCAAAACTTGAGATAACCAAAGTTTTGTCCAAAAACCAACTTCAACAACCTTGATTCATTAATACAAACTTGCTAACATGTAGATCAGTCATTGTATAGCAAGATAAAATCAATCTATATATGAATCACAAGGCTAAACCAGTAAATAGTCCAAATCACAGGTCTGAGAGTAAGAATTCATTTGCAACATAGTATAGTTCAAGAACAAGTACTTAGCAAATGTAAATAGCTCAAATATACCTGTCTTAGCCTCAACTTAGCACCATAACAAGCTCAAACTCAAACTCAACCTTCAAACCAGCCTTACACCAGCAATCATTAACATTAAAGAACCTCCATGATGAATACAGCAACAAAGGATCAATTCAGTGACATTTCTATGAAGATTTCAAGCTCAAATCATCATCAAAGACCTTAGAAATGTTTGTTCAAAAGAGACTCTCGAGTATAGTATAATGTAGGGTAATATTAGGGTTTTCAATAAGGCTTAAAACCCTAGAAATTCTATAAAGCATATATATACTTGAGCTTACTAAACAAGTCCTACATAAAAAAGGATATACACATGACACCTTTATACAATTATTGGCCAGAGAATGTTCTGAGATTTTTTCTGTGAATAGACCAATATACCTTTGCCAACTCAGTTGTTTTGTTCTCTAATATACCAGAAATTATAGCTCACAATGAGAACGCTATAATAGCATTCTTATCCAAACTTAGTCCCTAAAAAATGCATTTGCAGTGTATACACTCTCACTCTAAGACTACAACCACGTGTCACACACCTGAGCTTCAAGTAAAAAGACCAAAATGCCCTTGTAACTGCCATTTGTCAATCGCAACACAATACAGATCCTGAGACTGTATAATTCACAATTCAGGCTAAATCAAGGCTGTTTAATGGAATGAATCTATCTGAACATATATATAAATATGTAATACACCTGTGAAAAGACGATAATGCCCTGCAAAACCTTGTAACTAATTTTCATGCACTTAACCTCGATTTACATAGAAAAATAGCCTGAACGGGCAGAATAGCTGCAATGTGCTATCTCAAACCCTTGTGTAATTGTGTCACAGGATGGTAAAAGACAATGTTATCCCTGTGTGATGATTTAAGCCATTATGCACCATAATGGTGCTGGTATAAGCCCTTGAAAGCTCTATTACACCAGTTTTTGACATTAAATAGGCAAACACCACTTGATACTAATTAGGACCAATAATCTCCCCCTTTTGTCTTTAATGATAAAAATCCCAAAATGAAATAAAAACTAAATAAAGAAGATTCGACAACTTAAGTACATGAAAGCCTTAGTTACAGATAGTTAAAAACAAACATCAAAACCTTATGAAAGGATAAAAACTATCCTTATTTCAGTCATTTTCTCTCCATTTTTAACATGGATGGTCAAAAGATGATAAGGATTAACAATGATAAGCTCCATAAAGTGGTGGAACAACCTTGAGAAGGTTTCTAAGGGTTGTAAATCTATGAGGAAGAAGACGTTTGATCATCATATCTACAAGTTGATCTTCAATGGGCAAATAGGTGATATCAATAAGACCTTTTTGAACTTTATCTCTGAGAAAGTAATACCTGATGTTAATGTGCTTGTTCTTCTAATGAAGAATTGGATTTTTACTTATAGAAATGGCATTTTGATTGTCATGGAATAGCTTGGGAAGACATGAGAATTGAACACCAAGGTCTGTAAGTGTTGTCTGTATCTGGATAAGCTGTGAACCAGCTTAAGAAGTGGCAATATACTCAGCCTCTGAGGTTGAAAGTGACACTGTATCCTTTTTTTGCTTAACCAAGACACTATATTAGAGCGAAAGAGATAACAGTAGCCTAAAGTACTCTTTCGGTCAGATAAAGAACTACCCCAATCATCATTTGAATAGGCTCACTTTAGTGTTATTTCTCATCCTAATACTGCCACTAATGTTGCTAATATTTTTGGGAAACTTTCTTCAATATGCAAGGTACACAATTATGTCGAAGTTCAGCTTATCACCCTCAAACAGATGGCTAGACCCAGGTTACTAATCACACTTTAAAGTGTTATCTTTGATGTTTTGCTAGTCAACAACCTCATAATTGGTCTCGTTGGTTGCCTTTGGCTGAATGGTGATACAATACCACTTATCATTCTGAAGCTGTGTATATATAGCCGTCCTCCTTATTCAGTTTCAGCTTATTTTCCAGGTACTACTACTGTTCATGCTGTGGATTAGGCATTATGGGATCGGGATCGTACTTTGCAACTTTTAAAGGCTCATTTGCAATTTGCTCAGGCTCATTTCCAATTTGCTCAGGCTCATTTGCAATTTGCTCAGGCTCGTATGAAAGTTTATTATGATGCCAATTGCACAGAGCATTGTTTTCAGGCAAACGATTAGGTTTTCTGAGGTTGCAACCTATCGACAGTCCACTACTATATTTCAAAATTATTCTAAGCTTTCTCTACGTTTTTATGGGTCTTTCTGCATTCTTACAAAGATTGGTCCAGTTGCATATAAGTTGGACCTTCCGGCCAAATGTTCCATACATCCAATTTTTCATGTCTCTACCTTAAAGTTGAAATTGGGTGTTCATGTTAATGTCAAACTCCTGTGTTTGATTCCACCGAATGGGTGCCTAAGAAAATTTTAGATCGCAGAATCTTCAAGAAGAACAACCATGTTGTCACTCGTTGGCTCATTAAGTGGCAGGACCATCCTGTTGAGGAAACTACTTGGGAAGATTATCAGGATTTTTGTGCTCATTATCCAGATTTTTCAGCTCGAGGACAAGTCGTGGATCAAGGTGGTATAATGTTAGGAAATGTAATACCCCTAATTTTAAAAAGGATATTCCTGGTATTTAATGGTATTTAATTTATTATTTAAGTGCATTTTATTTGATTATGTGTCATTATTTTTTTTATTAGGTGCTTAATTATTTTCTTTTGTGGTGATTTAATTTATTTCTTTTGTGGTGATTTAATTTATTTAAATGATATTTATTTTTAGTTATTTGATTGGAATTACTTGTTAGTGTTTTAATTATTTAAGTGGCATTAATGGTTTAAGTGTAATTGGTTTAGTTATTTGATTGGAATTACTTGTTAGTGTTTTAATTATTTAATTGGCATTAATGGTTTAAGTGTAATTGGTTTAATTATTCTATGTGTGTCTTATTTTATGTGTGTCTTATTTGGTTTAATTGGGTTTACTAATTATTATTTTGTTCAATTAGATTATTTGTTAAGTATTTAATGGTGAATAGGGTAATTAGGTAAATACATCTAACTAGGGTTTTAATTACAGTATAAATTAGCGTTTTATATTATAGCCGTCATAGGTTTCTACGTTAATTGGATGGGCCGGTTAGGATTGTGAGTTGGACTTAAATGAACCTAGGGTTTAGGAAAACTCTATAAGTATAAGGTAGACGTCTGTGTAGGGTTTTTTTTAAACAAAGCACACGTTTTGTGGAAGTGGAGAAAGAAAAACGCAGTTTTTCACATTCTGCCAAGGTTTGATCAAAGCTCCGATCCCGCTTCGTCCGTGGTCCGATTAAGCTGAATTTTGGAGGAGAGGTTCATGACTCAGTGACGCACCATCTGAACAGTGGAGATCAGAGTTTGACCTCGGGAACAGTGATTCGTACTCGTGAACAGTAACTGGGTCGCACAGGTTTTTTTCCATTCTGCCTAGATTTCATCAAACATCCGATCCCGCTTCGTCCGTCGTCCAATCGAGCTGAAATTTAGAGGATAGGTTCATGACTTAGTGTCGCACAATCTGAACGGTGGATATCAGATTTTGAGTTCGGGAATAGTGTTTCGTACCCGTGAACAGTAACCGGGTTTTGGAACTCGCCGAGATTTTTTTAAGAAGACGACGTTAAAACTTTGAACAAAAGTTTCTGAGGCAAGATTCTATCCTTACTCTTTCCCTTAGGCTTCATACTCTTTGCACTCTTAAATGATTTCAGGATTAATGAAGATTAAACCAAACTAAAATGATATCTGTTTTGCTATGAAACTGGTAGTTACAGTAGTGTTGTATGCTTGTTCAA